GGCGACAGGAAACTTTTTCCATTACTTATTTTATTCTCTATTCAGTTAAATCTTTTATTTATTTTTGTTGGGATCCAATTCTCGCATCTAATTCTTACGTATTTATTATATTTTATATATAACGTAATTTTTAACCATAAAAAAATGGAACTAGTGTTTTGTTTAAACATTATCATTAGAATTTTAATTATTTGGTAAATAATTTTTTTTTTTTTTTTTTTTTTTTACTTAAGGTATAAGAAAAAGAAAAAGGAATAAAAAAAAAAAGGGGGAAATTGGAAGAGGGGGAACAAGCACACGCACAACGGCTCAATCGACGGTGCTTTATGTGTTGCTTTAGATTTATGGGGCTTTCTTTATTGGGCCTTTTGGTTGGACTCCACCCAAAACGATCATATGGTAAAAGACAATATTACCCTTTTTTTTTTCTTTTTTCCCCATTATATTTTACACTTCACTCACTTTTTACTTTTTCTTCTTATTATTATTATTATTATTTTAGATTTATATAAAATGAATAATAATGATGATGATAGTAGTGGAACATAAGTTATTAAGATGGTAATCATGCTTGTCTTATGCTTTTCCTTATTATCAATTTTCTTACCGTTATTTGCATCTTTAGGTTTTTTTTTTTTCTTGTATTATAATCTTTTTTTTAATTATTTATTTTATATATTAAAAAATGATATATGAATCAATATTGATCTATAGACGTCGTGTGATATTGTACAAGAAAAAGTATATCAATGTACAGAATTTATAATGACTCTGACTTTCTAAATTTCTAAATGACCGAAATTGTTATTAAATATATGTTAATGACAATTTCAAAGAGAAAATAATTTTACAGTTCGTGCTAGATTACTTCTTTAAATACTTTTTTTTTAAAAAAAATCATCATTAACCCATTATATAATTAAGTTTAATAAGCAAACAAATTAAAAAGGGACTCTAGAAGGGTTGCTTAGGGCTGCTTGTAGCCCCTTCTTGTCAAGACTCTTACACGTCTTGGCTACATAAGTACATGTTGGAAAAGTTGAGTATTAAAAATATTTAGTAAGTAACTTTCAGTTCGAGTTAGATATGCATATACACATGACAAAAATATAAAGTAAATCGAGGGATCTAAACCATTCAAAAAGGGGTCCACTAACATATTCCCCTACCGGAGATTAAAAAAAAAAAACTAGCCTAAGCAATAATCAATCAGCTATTACTAAACCCAAAACATAACCACCGGTCTATGACGAATAACTAAAATGAGAGATAACTAGATTGTACGCGTGATGGTAGAACTAGATACAATAAACCAAGTATGAACTAGAGAAAGAAACCAACTTGAATGGAGAATTAGTGGAATCGATAAAAAAAAAAAACTACTGATCGACTAAAATGGGACGACAAGCAGCAAACCAACTGCAAACTAGACCGAATTCAGGGTTGAATTGAATTTGACCGTATGTGAACTAGACCGAACACTACATCTTGAACCTCACGTTTTCTCATTGACCATTCTCACAAACTTAGCAACTACGAAATGCCTGCCTCATGAGGAATATAACAACGAAGAAGACGATGATGTTAGCAATGAGGACTACCTCTCCACGAGTACCTACAATCAATGGTCACGAAGAACTTCAAATTAAGCAAAACTCAAACCATTTAATCAAAAATCAAATACCAAATTAACATGCCCTCACTAATAGTGAAGAGCTACTAACAAAATGAAATTTAGCAGTCAAATGACGAAGAAAAAACAACAGTGAAAGTCAAACAGTTGTGAACGATGCTTGATCGTACAAAGGAAATGAGCTAAGACACCTATAATGGGCACGATGGAATTGTTTTCCAAAATCGAATGCTCCAACTAGTGCCAAAACCCAAATAGATGTCAACTCCGACAATTAGACAAAGCTAGATGCAAGATTTCTATCGATGATACAAGCAAATTCAAATCATTAAAGTTGAAACAAAACTATTCTCCCATGGGGCTCTATGATCTCGTTTTCTTAAACGAACAAAACTCACTTGATGTTCATACGAGCATGTCATTCATTTACATAGATAGAACAAAACACTTTTATAGAGTGAGCGAGCTCAAAATTCCATCACGGAATTAGTTGAAAAATTGAATGTATGTAGTCCTCAAATCTTTTTGTGGGGTTCCTATGAATAAAACATGAGGTGTAGCTGTTGTTTGTTTTCTTTTTGACTATGCACAACCCTAAGTCCACCTACTTCAACCATGTCTTCAATGGACCATTTGCCTTTCAACCTATGAAACCCTAACACTGCCTTATTCCTTTAAGCCTACGGCCCGAAAATGAGTCCAATGTCCATCAAGATGGTCCCGACCAGTAAAATTTAATTTATTTTTGAAGAGATTTGAGTAAAGATTCTTCCAACGAAATTTCTCTTCAATTCCGTAAGAAAAGTATGTTACAATATTCTTAAAAAACTATTTATATATTTACGAAATAAGGAGATTAGGGTAAAGTCTGTGTCGGGCACGGGAACGGAGACGAAGACGGGAACATGATTATAAATTAGGGATTAAATAAAAATTATGGTATTAAATAAAGGATAATAAATTAGGAAATAATGATGAAAAGAATAACAAATAAGTATAACCCACATAATCATCTACTCCTCATTAATAAACTTTTATAATTACAAGATTTTCCTTCAATCAAAAGCAATCAAAAACTCCACTTATTCACCGACACTTTCTCTCTCTTTTTATTTCATTTTATATTAAACTACTAATTTTTCTAATTCTATTAATTTTATTTTCACACTTCACAAATCAATCATTATCGATCTTGATTTATACTATTTTTTATTTAAAATATTAGCTAATTATATAAAAAATTAACGCATAGGCCGAAAAAAGTAGTCTCGGCTCAAACATTGAAGAAGAAATTAATCGAAATAATGTTTGTTTTGAATTTAAACTCTCATGATTTTTAATCATACGGATGGAAATAGTATTCCTTCTCTGCCACTCCTTGTTAGAAACAATGGATCTTCACAATAGTATGATATTGTCTACTTCGAACATAAACTCTTATGATTTTATTTTTTATTTTGGAGTTTATAATCACGTTTTTAAATTACTTGGAAATTATAAGGTGGGATTTGGTGGATTGTCCCAAAAAATGGACAATATAATTGGAAAATTGATTTATAAAAAGATGAGAAATAAAAGTATCTTAGCGTTGCGTGCGTGTTACTTTCTTGCGACCAATCAGAGAGCCCCAGAATCTTTTATTTTTTATTTTTTATTTTATTTTCTTTATCACATACATGATTTTATGAGCTTTTTCTTTTTGTTTTGTTTTGTTTCTTTATGAGTTTTTTCGGCTTAAAAAATGCATCTTTTCTCAACACAGTATTTGATTGACTGATTGAGAAGAGTTTATAAATAATCAGATTTTTAAAATTTTCAATCCAAATTTTAAAAGTTTTAATATTTAAAATCTTTTTTTTATTTATTAATATTAAGGTTGACTTTGACTAAATTAGAAAAATCTTTTAACCAACTCAAAATTTCAATTAGGTTGTGTTAAGTTGTTGGATTTTTTTTTTTTTAATTATTTAAAACATTTACCTATCGGTATTAATATTAAAATCTCATAATTCTAAATGTTAGGTTTGGGTTGAGTGTGACACTATTTTCGACTAATTTAAATATTTTAAATCTTTTTAACATTAAGGTAGAGTTATGTTAGGTTGAGTTGGGTTGTGACTCTATTTTCGAATTAGTCGAGTTGACGTGTTAAAAAAATTATTTAAAAATTTCTACGTATTACATTAATATCAACATCCTTAATAGAAACCAAATTTGTAATTTAATAAAAACTAAACTTAGCAACAATGTCTGGTTTGTAGTGTCAATTTTTTATCATATAATTGAGATAAGATCTACTCACCTACCCAAAAGAGTCTTAATCTTAAATGTTTGAATTATGCCGATTTTATTTAATTATAGTTACATATGGTCTTCTTAACTCACTTATGATCCACCGACAATAACGTTGATAGAATAACACCTCTTGATTTCTCAAGACAACAAACGTCTTTAAACATGTCAAAATTAGTTTGGTTAAGTTTGGGTAACCGCAAATGGTGTGTACTCTTAATATTTTTTCCATCGTACATTCAAATAATCGTTCGGAAGATTTTAACATCAATGTTGAAAGGAGAAATCATTTTTCAATTTATTTTTCCTTTTTTTTTTTTAATAATATCTTATGATATTTAAGAAGTAAAAAGGGAAAATCTTAAATAAATTATAAAAATTAAGAAAGTTTCTGATTTAAAAGGTAGATTTATGAATATGACATTTTAACCTCTTAAATTAAGCAATTTGTTTCTTGGATTAAAGAGCTCATTTTTGGGCTTTCGGCCCATGGAGTCTACCTAATGGGCTAGGCCTTCACTCCTTTTGGGTCATCATCCAACCACATCCTCCAAGAAACGGCCCCGTTTTCAGAAATTGATTTTAAAATTATACTGACACATTAAAAATACTAAAAAAAAATATAAAAATTAATAAAAATAATTTAATAACTTATTTTTCATATTTGTTAATATTAACACATTTGTTGTTTGAAAAGAAAATAAAATGGAAGACGGGCGGTGGACGGTTGTTCGATGTCGGAAGAAGAGGCAACGGCAAAGAAGAAGAAGAAGAAGAATAACAGAAATCAGCCGTTACTATTTCTCGCACGTGCCGACACAAACATTTTCCTTTTCTGCTTCTACAACTAGAATTCATGCAACGCCAACAAAATAGCCGTTTGGCCGTGCCTGAAAATACCTCACCGGAGCGGCGAACAATTTCCTTTTATCAATTCGTTCCAACGGCCACAAACATTTCAAAATCAAAACCCATTTATTTGTTCCCCTTTGCCTGTAAATCATACCCCGCTCCCTCCTCCCCTTTCCTACCAATTTCCGACTCACTCACATCCTCTGTTTTCATCGCACCTACCATGTCTTTAACCTTCCACGACTATCTGTCCTTCCAATGTTCCATCCAAAGCACTTGCAACGGCACCGTGGCTTCCGGCCAGCAACCCATTCAGCTCCTGGAGCTCCGACTCGGACATTCGACCCATCTCATCTCTCGATCTTCTCGCCAAATTCTCCAACAAACTCCCTCAACCCCAATCGGCGATGCTCTGTTTCCTTTTGTTCTGCGCGACCTCCAACACCCACCCTTCCTCTCCAACTGCTATGTTCTTCAGTTTTTGTCTTCCTTCAGCATCCCCATCGCCGCCTGCGATATCATCTATGAAGAGATCTCCTCGTTTGCCCTCCAATTGGCCGCCGGCAACATGGATCTCAACTTCCACATCGTCGTCGAAGTGGATGTCAACGAAATGATATGGGTGGACCTGGACCCATTCCTTGTTGAAGAATATTCTCCGGCTGAGATGAACGGGGCGCCGGCGTCGGCGATTGAGAGGTTGCAGAGGCAGAAATTTGATGGGTTGAGGGAGGAAGAGGAGGAGGGGGATTGCAGTGTTTGTTGCGAAGCGCTGAAAGGAGAAGAGGAGGTGAGCAGAATCCCGTGTGGTCATGTGTATCACAAATTCTGTATTCTCAAGTGGCTTCAGATGAGCAATTCGTGTCCTCTGTGTAGAACCAAATTAGAACAATAATTCTTTTTTTTTCTTTTTTAAGAATTAGGGAAAATGTAATTCTGGTTTTTGTGCAACAATTTCGTTGCAAATGATTGTAATTAGATTAATGATACTGACAACAAGTTTTACACTTTTTTTTTTTTTTTTTTGTC